ATATAAAAACAATCTGTAAAATTTTTGTTAAATTCTCATTATTTTAAAAATTCTATAGGTATAGAATATAAAAATTTTATACCTATAGAATTTTTAAAATAATGAGAATTTAACAAAAATTTTACAAATTGTTCTTATATATGTTGAAAGACTTAAGACAAAAGCCGAAGTCGATTCACTGAAGCAATTCAAAGTTATAAGGATTTTAATTTGAATTTTTTGGTTAGATTTGGCCATAGAATTCGAAAATTCTCAGGAAAAAAGCAACAGAAGCATTTCTGCGCTCTAGTTTTAAATAATAACATTCTGTACAATCCTTATTACTCAAACTATATGAGAAGAGCATATTCGTCAAAATCAATTCTTTAACTTTTTGCTACTATTGTAGGTACCAAACATCCTTAATCGACAGAATTGGACATTATTGTTTATTCTTCTTCTTGCAGACCGGAGCTCTGGAGGGACAGCATTTTAGACAGAGCGGCGTTTTGATATCGCTCAGCGAGCAAAATCTGATCGATTGTTCCGGCAAATACGGCAACAACGGATGCAATGGTGGTCTGATGGATTATGCCTTTCAGTATGTGAAAGAGAATCGCGGCCTCGACACCGAAAAGAGTTATCCGTACGAAGCGGAGAATGACAAGTGCAGGTCCGTAATCATTAATTATTTCGCATGATTCAGGCGCGCCTCGCGGAATTGATGATTCATCGCGGAATTCCTGAAATTGCAGATACAATCCGAGAAACAAGGGCGCGACCGACGTCGGCTACGTGGACATTCCGGAAGGAGACGAGGAGAAGCTAAAGGCCGCGGTCGCCACTATGGGTCCAATCTCGGTCGCTATCGACGCCTCTCGTCCGTCCTTCCAGCTTTATAGCGGAGGTACGTATTATGTATTTTACACACACACATATATGCGCTTTTAATAAACTAAATTTTTACAAATTTTATCTGACAAGGTTGTAATTTGTGCAAAAGATTTTTAACGTAAAGTTGTAAATCGGAAATTAAAAGTCCGTAATGCAATAATTAGCGAGATTAATTTTTGTGTCATAAAATCTCAAAGAGGACCCAAGATAGTTTTTTTCGCTCGTTTTTTTGGGCCCTCGATTTTTTTAGGACTGGACTGTGTGCCAAATATGTAGTACCTTATAATGAGATAATCACAGAGAAGTTTCAGGTTGATGTGACAATTGTTATCACAGCTGGAGGGTGGATCACTTATTACGTCTCTTTACCCGAAAACTTGATTTTTTTTTAAATCGCAAGCGACATTGTAAATTTACATTTGCAAGCTGCAGAACATTATAACTTCCCGAAAAATTTCTTCTTGAATTAAATTTATTTTGTATTAAAAATAGTTGCTCATAAAATACGTCCCTAAACTTTGAAACTCGTATCTGTAGACATTTTCACGTTATTTAGAAATTCAATCGTGACGTAAAAAGATGATTATTATTAGGACTTGAAATTTTAGATCGATTATTAAAGTCGCAATACGAATTTAATTCATATATGATTTTAATTAGATTCAAATGAATATTACTTTAAAGGGACTACAGAGCTTTGATTATTTGAGATTTGCTGCAGAACATAACTTCTCGAACAATTTTTTCTTGAATTAATTCAATTAATTTATTTCGTATTAAAAATAGTTGCTCATAAAATACGCCCCTGAATTTTGAAATTCGTATCTGTAGGCATTTTCACATTATTTAGAAATTCAATTGTGACGTAAAAAGATGATTATTATTATTTGGACTTGAAATTTCAGATCGATTATTAAAGTCGCGATACGAATTTAATTCATATATAATTTTAATTAAATTAAAATAAATTTTACTTTAAAGAGACTTCAGAGCTCCGATTATCTGAGATTTGCAAGCTGCAGAACATTATAACTTCTCGAACAATTTCTTCTTGAATTAATTTAATTTATTTATTTTGTATTAAAAATAGTTGCTCATAAAATACGCCCCTGAATTTTGAAACTCATATCTGTAGGTATTTTCACATTTTGAAATTCTTTAGTCTTTGTCACATTCTTCTGTTGTCGTATGAAAGTCTTTTGGATACATACTTTGACAGAATAATCATACATTTCTGTATCGTCTAATCTATTATATATAACGAGATTCGAAAGAAAAAAATTACAATTTTTTTTTTTACCAAAACGAGCGTCATTTACGTAAAACTGCGATCAACTTTCATCGGCTGGATCAACTTTCTTAAAATACCGGACCTCGCAGATCTGTGATAATTCCACGCACATAATAAACTTTGATTTCATCCCCTCCCTCCTCCAGCTCTGACAACAATTGTCACCTCAACTTGAAACTTCTCCATATATTAATGTCTCATTATAAGATATTATTTGGCACGCAGTTCAGGTCTCAAAATCGAGGGCCCAAAAAAAAACGGGCGATTTTTGGGACCACTCTTTACTCCTATTCGCACTTTTTTTCCACTTCAAATCTCATATTTTTTTTTTTTTAGGAGTATATTACGATCCCGAGTGCAGTTCAGGAACCCTAGATCACGGTGTGCTGATCGTCGGCTATGGCACGGACGAGGAGACCGGCCAAGATTACTGGCTGGTAAAGAACAGTTGGGGCGAAACATGGGGTAGAGAAGGTTACATCAAGATGGCTAGGAATAAGGATAACCACTGCGGTATAGCGAGCAGCGCCAGCTATCCTCTCGTTTAACCCCCTCGCTGGCGATCAAACCTTGTAGCGCGTTGATCTGCTAATTGAAAAACATGACAAATGTGTCTTTTAGAGACCTAAAAGGTTTTGCAAGTTTTAGAAAAAAAAAAAAAAGTTTTTATATCGTTCCTGATATATTATGATTTCGTTAAAATCATATTTCTTAGTACAATTGGATAATTAGAGTCGGCGTTTCGTCGGTCTTTCTTTTTCACCACGCCACGAAAGGGCCAGAATTGCAGTTACAAAAATATTTTACAGTTTTCCAAACTCTCTTTTGGTCTCTGCGTAATTAATTATTCTGAACAAAAGAGATAAAAGAGAAATATTCGCGAAAAATGCGAGCCTCGAAGATTCATCGTTCATCGCTTTAACGTTTATTAAATTTAGCAACAATTGTACGCGTAGACATATTTTACCTTGTGTTTATATTTAATCTTCATTTTCTGTCCACATTTAGAATTATACTGCCCGGGATATTCTCTAATGTCTCGTATCAAGGATTACTTTACCGTAAACTTTATTTTCTATCGAAATTATAAAACTAATAAATGATAAAGATCTAATTTTTAAGCCATCTTAGACATATTACGCATATGTATCTCGCGATAATCCAGAGTTGCTGTTATAAGCAAACTGATCTCTATTTTTTAGGAAACGTGGGAAATAAAGAAATTCTTTTTGATAAATCATGCTATTACTTATTTACTTGAAACATTTGTGAATAATAAGTTGGATATGTCGTTATAATGTGACAGAGCGATGCATTGTGCATTACAAAGCAAACAATACGTTTTTCTTTTCAAGTCTCTTGAGTGATTGCTTTATTTCAATGTTTCCCGATGCGGAAACTGCGGAAAACATGATTGATTATCGAGTTATTAGTGATTGAACATTATCTATATAATAAATAAAACTATAAATTGTGTCAATTCTTAAGTAATTGTACATATTGAATCAAGAAAAATGTTCTCTGTGATCTTGATGGTCGGTCGTTCCAGGTTTCCTTAAGATGTTAACATTTTCATTTAAAAATCTAATGAATTTAATAAGTTTTAAAATTAAATTAGAATACTGCTCGTATGAAAAAAATCAATGAAGTAAAATAAGAAACAGAAGCCAATGATAACACGAGCAAAAACTTTTATGGATGAAATAATACAAATTAAATAATTATTAAAAGTTGATAACTCGCATATGTGAGACGAGCGTTAACACATGTACGAGATATTGTCTATTAAATTTCTTTTTTAATGTAATTTTTATGGTGGCTAAGACCGAAACGTTCCATCAATTTTTTATAATTATTGTATTATTTCATCAATAAAAGTTTTTACTCGTTTTTATCGACCTGTTTTTTATTCAATTTTATCAATAAAGTTTTGTTCGCGACACGTTTCGATGAAGACACTTTCAGTGGTTCCAGTTGAAATTTGACCATTCAGGTAGGATGTAAAAAAAAACGTTTTTTTTTTCTAATAGAAAAAACATTAGAAAAAAACATGTTTTATTTCATTGAAAAAATATAAATTTGGTTTTTTTTCTAATTCCGATAGCACGACTAATTAATAAATAAATAGTAATTATATATAGTAATTAATAAGTAAATAGTAATTATATAATTATATACTTCATTTTAATGTGATCTACATTTAACTTTTACAAAAAAAGAGAATCTTTTTAATTCTTTTTCAAAACAGCTTTTCCTTAAGTAGAATTTATTATAATTATTTCATTGAAGTCCTTGCTTTAAAATGCATTTCAGAATCAATATATTGGCTTTCTCGTTTTGCGTAAAGAAATCATGAAATGATGATAATTTAAATCTATAAAATGAAAAATCATAAAAAATTAACTTAAATTAAGCAAAATATTAAATAAATATAGCTGAAAAAAAAAACAAAATTTTGAAAAAAAACGAGGCTTGTGTTCTTTTTCTATAAAAAAA